GTTAACATTAGGGGAACTTGGGTAAAGTGTACATGGTAACTCTGAAAATCTAAAATCATTTCTAAGTAAAAATATTTATAAAATTTTAAAAAATAAGCAGAGGAGGAATAAATTCATAGATTTCCAAGTCAATACTAGTCATAATCAAATGATATTATTTAAAGGTGACAAACCAAATGTAGCATGATAAATACAGGACAAGGGTAATGTTATGCAATAAATTAACATAAAGTTAACAAGTGAAACAATAATTCAAACCATCTAAAATACAAAAAGATATATGAAAAGTAAATAAGACAAGCCTTATAAACATTAAAGATAACATAATATAGTTGGTAAATGTCAGTTAAGTAATATGAGAGTTTAAACCAGTCATATAAATTAATATAAATGGAATAATTTAAACTATTACACTAAATTATTAAACTATTAAACTGTTACTAATAAAAAGATTTTCAGATTTTCTCAAAAAGGAATCTGACCTCTGTACTTTATACACAGATAAAACTAAAATGAAGTGATGCAAAAATCCTCCAAATAAATGTATGACTAGAGATGTATCTGATAAGTTGTAAGTAACCATCTAAAAACTAATACATAAGAAGACAGTTGAATATACACAAAATGGAGTACTTTGTGACTATAAAAAGAAATATCAGTACATATGATATGAAATGATTCCCAAATCACATTGTAAAGTAAAAAAAAAAAAAAAAGGCACAAAGTGTGTGTGGGTACATGCTACCATTTGAGTGAGAAAGAAGGGGAAATAAGATTGTGTAGATATGCATGTATGTTTGTGTGTTTTCTTATTTTTAAAAAATAACAGAAGAAATATGGACAAGAAACTAATGAACATTATTGCTTATAGGGTTTATTCAGAAAAATATCTATAGTCTCACTGTCATGCAAGAAATGCAACAAGCCTAGCTTGTATCAAGGAACAAGTAATCCATCAGACTGCAGCCATATCAGAAGAGCTAAGAAACCACCTTGAAGTTTTTGAGTTAAGTTCCTACATGCCAAATTTGAGATAAGGAATAATAATTATAATGGACTTAGGCATATAAAACAATAAAATCTGTGGGTTTATAATGATAATATTTAAAATATTAATGATCTTCATAAGATATTAGAAAAACAATTTATTTGGAAAGCTGGTAATTAGGTGTATTATTAATTCTACTTTTACTATGAGAATTGTATCTATTTGTTGTCTCTTGGGTTTGAATCTGTACAGTGAAAGAGAGAGAAAGAAAGAGGGGCAAGGCAGGGGAGTGAGGTAGGGAAAGAAAGAGTAGAGAAAAAGGGAGTAGACAGAAGAAAAGGAAGAGATAGAAAAGGGGAAGAGAACAAATTGAGAAGGGGAGGGAGAGAAAAGGAAAGGAGAAAGAAAATAAAATAAAACAGAAAACAGAGCCAAGAAGGCAAAGATAAAAGAACAAAGATTCCATCGCTGTTTTGAAAAATGAATGGAAAAAATGTCAAAGATAATCATTCTGAGCTTTTATAAAGCCAGATGTAAATTCTGAAAGTTTCAAGAGAGACAACAAGAGAATGGGAATCAGAATGACATGCAATTTCTCAAAAGTATCAGTGCTTGCTAGAATATAAAGAATGCATGCAATGTTGGAATGAAAATTATTTCAAATCTAGAATTTCAAAGAAACCAAATTATTAATCATTTGTGATTAAAGAACAAAGATGATTGGCAACATGTCAAGACCAAATGTTGACTGGCCAGAGGCAAGTAAAATTCCTTAGCTAAATGACAGAATGAACCTTGCCGAGCAAGACAGAGAGCTTGCAAACAGTCTAACACAGTAACTCAGTAAAAGGAAGTCTCAGCAGGACAGCTGATACAATGGGCTCAGAGAGAACAATCTTACTAGACCAGAACAAGAGCACAGAGGACACCAGGAAAAATCTCTAAGACAAAAAAGAAGAAAAGATTATTTGATACGGTTGAGTTTTTAAGGAACATATTGGATAGATACACAATAGACTTAATTGAACAAATGGGAAGATAAAGTTTTATTAACTTTTTAAAAATCCTACAAAAATTGCACAGAAAAGAAAATATAAGCATGGTACACTAGTTGTTTCAGTGGTGAAAAAGATTTGCATGTCCCTAACGAAAACTGATTATCAAATTACGGAAAATCATGATATACCATCAAGCATGAGGGCATGGGGAAAGAGAAATAAATAAATAAATAAATAAATAAATAAATAATAAATGTTCATTTACCACAACAGAAAGTTTATTAATATGTCTACAATTATACTAAGAAATATAAAGGTAAATTTTTACAGAAACAGCTGGAACAATTATAAAGTGGTTGTAGCTAAAATGCATAGGTCTTGGTGAGCATAAAACCAGCCATTTTACAATGTACTTTTCAGCGCTATTTTTAAAATTGGTTTTTGAATAAAAATAAACACTACAAATAAAATAAAAGAAGCAATGAAGAGGGGGACTAGTCTGAATCGTTTGATAATGTCCAGGCAAGAGATGATGGCAGCATGGAATTGTGTAAAGGTAGTTAGTGTAAATGGAGAGATTTGGGCACATTTCAGATATATTTTAGAGCCAGTTGCCAGATCTTGTGAAAGTTTGGATATGAGAGCAAAGAGAGATGGAGAATTGCTCCTAATTTCTTCCTTGCCCAGTTGATTGGAGGCTGCTACAACAGGACAGAGAAGACCAGGGAAAACCATGTTTTGGGGAAAATTCTAAGGTACTTTTTGATCATGTAAAATTTAATGTGTTTTTGAGACATTCAAATAATTATGTCCTGCTTGGCAGTTGAATACATGAACCTGGAGATCTAGAAAATGTGTCAGAACTAGAAATATACATTCTCAGCCTTCTTTATGTTGATGATATTAAAAGCAGTAAAAAAAATATGTCATAAAAAAAAGAATGGAAAGTATAGCATAAAGAATTTTATACTTGAAACTTATAGAATCCTAATATTCAGACTATGGTTAGAGGCAGAAGAATCTTTTCCTCTCATAAAAGTCATTGCTGCTTTGTTTAATTACTTCTTTAAAAGTCTCTCTTCCCTAACAGAATATAGGTGTAGATATTGGGACTGTCTGTCCTTGTTTCTGTTGAGCAGAATAGAGAGACGAGAATTAATCTTCTCTCTATATGCAGGTGCCTGTGAGTGTATGATTATGAATGAACAAAAAGGAGTCATAAGAGAAGTAAGTAAAGGAAGAGTTAGTAAATGCTGGTGAACTACTGGTTAACTATAAAAAATCAGATTTTAATTTTCAACATTCTAAAATGAATCCCAGTTGAGTAGAAGTGCTATGTATAAAAATTTAAGCTATGAGAAAAGAAAGATAAAAAATGTGTTCATAAAATATCTCTGAATGAGAACATAACTTTTAATACAAATGGAAGAAATAAACTGCTAACCAATTTATCTAGGACCATTCACTATCAATTCTTTCTTTCTCATTGTGATGCTCTTCTTATTTTATATGGGAGTAATAAAATGTGGATAATCTGACTTTTCAAATTGATCCATGTACTGATTCTTGATTTAAAATCAAATTGTTTTAGTTACTGGCACTAAATTATATATTTAAATCTATAAACATCAAGTCTATTTGCTTTATTTATTACTATTTTTCCAGAAAACTTTTAGAATTATTTTGCCAGGTTCCCAAAGAAGTCCTCTTTGGATGCTTATTTGAGTTAAATTAACCTGTGGGTGCTTTTTGTAAAAACAAGCCAAATAAAGTTAAGTCTTCAACTCATGCCATATACAGATAAATTTCAAATAGAATCAAAAGTGCAAAAATTTAAACTATCAAAAAAAGAAATAAAGAGGAAAGTGAAGAGGAAGAGATAAAAGAAAAAGAGAAAAAGAAATGATTAATAGTATATCTCAGATTAAGAAATTCTAAACAAAAAACATAAAAGATTATATAATACAAAAATCAATGTATGTGAGCATATCAAATTTTAATTTTTATCAATTTAGAAATAACAAATATTGACATACTATTAACATATAGAAATCATTTGCCACAAATAATCTTGCCACTTTAATATCTTTTCTCTGTAAACAGTACTGCAAATAAGTTAAGAAATAACATAAAGACTTAAAAAATTAACAGATAATTTATAGAAGTAAAAATGGCCAATAAACAAATAAGATATTAATTAATTTCACTATTACTTAAAAATATAAAACAATAAAACAGACTTCATTAATGTTTTAAATGCTTATTGAATATTTACCATGTAAGTTGATGTTCTATATTCCATAATACATAACATTAATGATGTTTTTAAAAAGGCAAAGAACCTCAATCATACTACAGGTTAAAGTAGGCCCTAATCTACTGTAGCCAACTTGTTATAATTTGCTACAAAATGCATATTTGACTCTGTGTGTGTGTATTTCTTCTCATCCCATTTTACTGTCCATTCATGAATCTTATCTAGATTAAACATAATTACTTTAAAAATAGATTACTGCAATTAGTTTGCTCCTAGTCTCTCTCTGCACACAAACTAATCTACATGACTACCAGGTCAATTTTCTGAATGAAAATGAACAGACTTCTGCCAAGAAATTGTAAATGTTTCAAACACTCTACATCAGATTAGATATAATGTCTTCCATTAACTAGAAAAGGTTAATCAAGGCAGACTTTGATGCACATTTAAACATTTAATTTTGATGCTGTGTTAATTTATTGAGGTTTGGAACAATAGTCTGACACAATTCCATGAGAGTAATGAGAGCTGGTATGGAAAGTTACCATTGAGTTTTCTCCTGCTTTACTTGGTAATAGTGGAGTTTGGATTAAAGATTTGCCAGACAATTTTGAAATTCCATTCATATATCTTTTTTTTGAAATACAAGAATAATTTAGAGATTATTATTTTACATGAAAATATATTTTTCTTTTTCTATGTCTCTTATCTATGAAACCATTTTAATAAATTAAAATGTTTCCATTGAGGATGAAGTTCATTTAAGAATATGATTCTGTGTAATTTTTTTCAGAACTTTTATTACCTCCTTATTTCTCAGGCTATAAATAAAAGGGTTTAATAAAGGAATTACTATTGTATAAAAAATAGCCACTGGTATATCTTTATCCTCTTCTTCATATGGTCGAATATACATGAGAAGACAAATATAAAATATTGAGACAGACAGAAAGTGAGATGAACAGGTAGAAAATGCTTTACCTCTCCCTTCTTTGGATTTCATTTTTAAAACAGTAAAAAGGATGCAAATATAAGAAGTCAAGACAGTGGCAATGGTGAAGATTTGAATTGGCATTGAAAAAATGTATATCATTAGTTCATTGATATAAGGGTCAGTACAGGAGAGCCTATAGAGTGGAAGGATATCACAAAAAAAGTGATCAATTTTATTAGATCTACAGAAAGTTAACTTTAATAGAAGCCCTGCATGGATCATGGAATGCAGGTTACTAGCTATGAAGGTCGCTATAGTCATCTGAATGCAGAGTTTCTTAGACATCATGGTGTGGTACTGCAGTGGGCTACATATGGCCACATAGCGATCATAAGCCATTGCTGCCAGGAGAAAGCAGTCTGCAGTTTCAGCAAGGCAGAGAAAATAAATTTGTACCACACATTCATTGAGGGAAATTATTCTGTCCTCAGAAAAGAAGTTTCCTAACATCTTGGGAGTAATGGCACAAGAACAACAGGAATCCATCAGAGCCAAGTTGCCCAAAAAGATGTACATTGGTGTGTGCAGATGATGTTCCACAAATATCAGTGCCACCAGGCCAAGATTACCCATCATCGTGATCAGATAGATGGCAAAGAACACCAGAAACAGAAGGATCTTCAGCTCTGGATAATCTGTAAATCCTATGAGGATAAACTCAGTTGTCAACGAGTGATTTTCCTTAGCCATTCCTGGCTTCTTGGCTGAGATAGAAATCATAGAGAAATGAAATTCTAAGGTAGAGTGGTGTAATTCTGCCCCCTAATATTTCCATATACAAAATGAAAAAACTCTTCAATCATCATGTACTGTCTCCTGAAAACTAACACAGTAGGTCAAGTCTGTGAGAAGACAAGTATCACAGATAGTGTACATATTGTCTAGAAATGCTGTGTGAATTCTCAAGAGAGAATAGCTGTTTTTCTGCATGAATTATCCAACGCTGATGTGGGAAGTCCTAGTCCTTGCATATAATTTGGCATTTCCAAAATTAAAAGACATTTTCTTATGGTGTCTATTCCTCCAGGAAAACAAATAAATAAGTTTAAAGTACTTTCCTATGGAACTGATGTGGTATTTGAAAACAAATTGCTCTTTAGCTATTTTAAGTGTCTAATGTTAAGAACTCCACAGAATCACAGTGGATTTTTAAAATGGTTCCTCTTGTTTAGTATCCCTTCACAGCTAAGTTTACCACAGGATATTTCAAAGGAATACATATTTGCCTTTGCGACAGTATAAGAGTAAATTAATTTTGATATTTTTATATTTATTGCAACACATTCTGAATCTTATGCCTATATTAACATAACACATCCCCCACAAATTATTGTTCTTAATTATCTGTTTATCTTAATATTTTCTGTCTCTAGTTGTAAGTATCCTACATGCATGTCTAATATTACAAGATTTGGTCTCCATTCACAGTATGCATATGTCATGATAAATACCTATCTTGTACTCTCTGAAACTTCTTATATAGAAATTAATGTCTTCACTTTTGGTGAACCCCATGAAGGTTCTGCATGTATATGCAGATTATATGCAGATAATAATTATATGATTATTTACATTTACAAACTCATTTACTTCTAACCCCCTTATATTTATTGGAATTCAATGATCACCCAAATTGATTATATATTTATTATAGTTTAGCAACCATAATATTATAAGAAATATAGATTTTTAAGAATGCCAAAATCATCTTTCTTTTCTCCCAGAAATTGCTAAAAGTATTTGGCCTCAGCATTTTTCAGACACTTTTGAAGAAGAACCTACAATAGTTAATTGAAGTACATTGTTTTTAAAACATACTTTGGTTAGTTTTTTTTCTGTTTCTTATCATTGTCTACACTGAATTTAATATACTATTTTTCTATTTGCTCGCATAGTACGGTAAAGTTTTCTGAACTCATCACTAGAAGGTTACAATCAAATGAATAAAATAAGTTTACCCTTTATATTTTAGGTCCTCTTTAAAAATACCTTTTAGAATTATAGTATTTTGGAAAACTTAGTGAAAGTATCAAAGACAGCTTTTTATTATTATTTTAGCAAAACATAATGATAAATCAATTGAAAATATTTATCCTATGAACTTTGGTTTAATTTTCAATAATCACTATTTTACGTAAAAGATAATATATCAGAATAATGAGTGAAAACTCATTCTTCTTCCCTCAATGTGAAATACAAATTATTCAACTGAATTAGAAATCAATATTACTTTACATCCCATAATTATTTTACAGAGTAATTTGTAGCCTTACCTGTATGTTTACTGAGAAGATGATAGTATTTTTGAACTCAGAATAGGACAGAATGATCCACTGTACTGTACTTCTTTATGACTTTCTAGGGTGTCTTTAATTTAGACACAGACCAAGGAAGCACTTACGTGGATAAAATGCAAAACCAATTAAAAGTGCTGAGGTATTTTAGGAAAGTGTGTATTTCTGCATTTTAATGCTTTCATGTAAGTATATTAGAAATCAGTCCTCATATAAAATGACACATATCGTATACTAGCTAATTGGCCACTTGATGTTTGTTTTTAGATAAATTAAAAAAATCTGGGTCTTTAAAACATTTGGGAATAAATTATGTAACTCTAGGATACTCTCTCTACCAATAGGTCAGTGACAATAATTATGTTAGCCTCAGGCAAAGTTAAAGTTTTCTGTTGATTCTAGAGGGATTTGCTTGGCACTGGCATCATGGTATTTCAGCAGAAATGCCTGACCTGAGAGACATGGTTTCTAAAACACAATTAAACCAAAGAGCATCAGTGAAAGATAAAGATCCTTTGAGATTCAGGGGTTAAGCTAAATGACCATCACTAGAGTCAGCAAAGGATTATGTTGATTATTTTTTTTATTGTTGTGCAATTATAGTTGTCCCCATTTCCCCCCCATTACTCTCTCCTGCCCTACCCACCCCCACCTCCGACATACAATTCTCCCCTCCCCCAGTTGTCTGCTGGTGGGTCCTTTATATATGTTCCTTGATGACCCTTCCTCTTCTTTGCCCCATTATCCCCCTCATCCTTCCCCTCTGGTTACTGTCAGTTTGTTCTTTATTTCCATGTCACTGATTATATTTTGCTTGCTTGTTTGTTTTGTTGATTAGATTCCACTTACAGGTGAGATCATATGGTATTTGTCTTTAGCCCCCTGGCTTATTTCACTTTGTATAATGCTATCTAGTTCTATCTATGCTGTCAGGAAGAGTAGGCAGTTCCATCTTTAGTTTTTTGAGGAAATTCCAAACTGTTTTCCACAGTGGCTGCATCAGTCTGCATTCCCACCAACAGTGTACTGGGTTCCCTTTTCTCCACAACCTCGCCAGCACTTGTTTGTTGGTTTGTTTATGACGGACATTCTGACTGGTGTGAAGTGGTATTTCACTGTGGTTTTACTTTGCATCTCTTTGATGGCTAGTGAGGCTGGGCATCCTTTCATATGTCTCTGGGCCCTTTGTAACAATCCAATTAAAAAATGGGCAAAAGACCTGAACAGACACTTCTCCAAGGAGGATCATGTTTATTTTTTTATGCAGTTGAGATACCTCTCTCCTTCTCCCTCCCACTACCCCCTCTCTGTTCTTTGTTCCCCCTCTCTCTCTCTTATCCTCTTTACTTGAAAATTATAGCAGAGAGAAGAAAATCATATTGATCATGTAATGGAAAAAGTGGAATTTTAAGCCAAAATGTGAAGAGAGACTTTTGATTTGTGGAAAGAAGACAAAAATATGATTGCATTCTTCTTTTACTCCCTTTGATGAATCTGACCGCGCTATAGAGTCATCCTCTGAAACAACACTGATAATGTGTTCTTTTTTTCACTTATGTATCATAAAAGAACTTTTTAATTGGTGTTCCATATCTACCATTTTTATATTATAAATATACTCTTATGGATTGGAAATGTTTTTGGCCCCTCATTACTCTCGAAACCAAGTCTTTATCTTTTATGTAGTATTTCAAGGTCTCCATGGAACTGGTCTTATTTCACCTATTACTCTATTTTTTTTTAAAGATTTTATTTATTTATTTTTAGAGAAGGGGGAAGGGAAGGAGAAAGAGAAGGAAACAGGAATGTGTGGTTGCCTCTCATGCGCCCCCTACTAGGGTCCTTGCCCACAACCCAGGCATGTGCCTTGACTGGGAATTGAACTGACGGACCTTTGGTTTGCAGGCCAGCGCTCAATTCACTGAGCCACACCAACTAGGGCTTATTTTCTACCATTAATCTTTAAGAATCGATCTCCAAAAACATACCTATCGATTCTCTATTTCTTGATGCATTAGATTTAAATCCTAACTTAGAATACTTACTCAGGATCTACTTCTCATCTAAAATGCCCTTGCCCTGTGCAACCCATTCCTTTGCCCAAGTCCTATTTAATCTTTATATGACACCTATTTCCTTCATGAAAACATATTAAACATTCTGAGATGCAAAATAATTAACTATCTTTGGCATAGAAGGACCTTTTAATTATACTTCACTTGGATGTTCATTCATTTGGTTTTTCTTTATATGAGTCTTGTTTACTTTCAGCTGAATTTTCTATTTAACTTTTCATACTGCAAATCTCTCATTGTACCAGATAATATAGGCCCTTAAAGAATGCTTATTGATTTAGTTGCAGAGATTTTATTTAAATGAAATTCAGCATTCATAGGGTGATTTTAAAAGACAAGTCATTGAGTCAGACATTGAGCAAAGAGGACCCCTCAGTAGGGGTGAGGTTGGGAAGGAAGTTGCACAGATAAATACGAAAGAACCCTGCCATCATAGAGCAAGCAATCTAAGAGGACATCACTTACAGAGCTGTATAAAGAGCAGCTCATTCTGAGTTAAATATCAAAATAGAACTGAATACAAGGTATATGGAAACTCAGTGAAGGACATAACTTAGGAGACTGGGAAAAAACTTTGCAAAGAAGTGGTTTGCAAAGTGGAAGGATAGATTAGATTTCAATAAACAGAAAATGTGTGGTAAGATATTGTAGGCTGAAGGAACAGCATGATTAAAGGTAAAGGCATGGAAGCTTTAACTCATAGAAAATATACGGTCCTGCACAAATAACACCTCTCTTTATTACAAAATCATAAGCATGTAATTCTGTAACATAACAATATCTCAGTCAAGACCACCATATGACATTTTAGGTGAAATGTTCAAATTAAAACTATAAATTACTACCCCATATTATTACGGTACCAACCACACTCAAGCAGGCATTGCTTCTGCCAGATCCTGTATTTAAGGAATGGAGAGTAATTCAGGGTGGCCAGTGTCCGGAACATGCTAGAAATAGGAGAAGTTGGGAGGTTTGGTTTGAACTCATTCTGCTTCTGTCCCTCCATTTTGCTGACACTGCTCTCTTACCAGCCTCACCGCTCATATCCTAACCACCAAATCCAAAGCACTTTTGACAATTATTATCCTAATTAAATAACTATATGATTTGGTATTGTTGACCATACTCTGAATTCATTGTTTCTTCCGGTTTCTGTGAAAACATTTTTTATGCCTATATCTCTGGCTGTTTTCTCTCCATATTTTGTATTACAATAGATTCTCCTTTCCTCACAAATACACATTTGTGGAAACAAAAAAGTGTATTCTTTAGTACATTTTCAAAATTATGGTACTTTATTTTAAATACTAACTCCTAA